ATCCATCCATCCATCCATCCATCCATCCATCCATCCATCCATCCATCCATCCATCATCTGGTTCTGGACTCAGGTCTCAGGGGCAGCATCTTGATCAGGGAGGTCTTCTTCTTCCAGCTCTTCTGGGACGACTCCAAGGTGTTCCCAGACCAGCTGATAGACATAGTCTCTCCAGCGTGTCCTGAGTCTTCCCCGGGGTCTCCTCCCAGCTGGACATGTCCAGAACACCTCTCTATGGAGGCGTCCATCCTCCCCAGATGTCTGAACCACCTCACCTGTCTGTGGATGTGGAGGAGCAGTGGTTCTACTCTGACTCTCTCCTGGAGAATTGCACTTCTCCTATCTCTAAGAAAGAGTCCAGTTACCCTGCAGAGAAAACTCGTTTAGACCTCGAGGATCCAGGATCTGGTTTTTCGGTCTCTACCCACAGTTCAGGACCATAGGTGAGGGTAGAAACGTAGCCGAGCAGTAAACACAGAGCTTCTCCCTCAGCTTTTAGTTTGATGGTGTAAAGCGACCCGCTGGGTGAATCCACGCTGACAGATGTGGATCAGCGTGTCGTCTATGAAGCTGGGAGTTCTCTCTGAGTCGTGTTTGTTTATCTCCTCTGGTCCCCGTGTTTCTTCAGGTGTTGCTGCTGGACCTCGGCTGGACAACAACCAGCTGTACAAATTCAGCTACACCACAGAGGTCCTGCTGGACAAGGCCCGAGGGTCCAGAGAGGGCGGCGCCGGCTACAGAATCTCAAGTGACGTGAACGTTAACCTAGTTTGGAGAGACCCGGGCAGCAAGGATGACCAGCTGGTCCGACTGGTGGTGCGTTGGTCCAGTTACATGTCAGGAGAGGACGTGATGGATTAAGATGTTTGTCACTGCTGGCACAGCTGGTTTTTAAACTAACACTTCATCTGTTGAAGTTTCTGCTTCTCCCTTCCAACAGATGTCAAATGTGAGGATTGAGCCTGCGTCTCTGAGGTCAGAGAAGAAGAACGTCCTCCATGGGACCACGACTGAGAGCGTCCTGGGAAAAACCAACCTGGCAGCTCTGACCAAACCGTTCCTGGTGCACCTGAAAAATGGAAAGGTGACAACACTGACTGTTGGATAAATTAATAACCTATTATTATCTATTTACTCAAACAATCCACTCTGAGGACACGAGAAGATTTTTAACCTGGTCTTTACTTGTTGGGGTAGACGGTCATGATAAAGCTTTCACACATGTACAAAGTTACAAGCTTAGAGTGTTGTCATGAGAATCTGCACCGGACAGTGAGGCAGGAAGTGTTATATATAATCTCATCAGTCACTGGTGACCTCGGTCTGCCAGCTGTATGTGCAGGTTCACATCAGCTCCTCTCTGAGCAGACAAAAGAACTCTCGGACCTCACAGCCATGGTTCAACATTAATTTAAATTAGTTAGTGATAAACATCCATAAACCTTTATCTAAATTCCCCTGACACTGACCGCTTGTTGGCGTAGTGCGGGGGTCTGCAACCACATGTGGCTCCCTGAAGCTTTGACCAAAACTAACATGACGTTTAATTTCATTCGTTTTTACACCCACAACAGAAACGGCTGGTTTGATCAGTGTTTCTGTCAGTTTCCTACAAATTAGGATTATATCTAACTACTTGAATTATCCTTCATCCAGCTTTACCGTGGGATCTCTCTCAAATCTACTAATAAATCTTTGGAATATTTTTACTTGGAAGAAATACAGTGAGTCTGTTTGATAAGAAGAAGAATTAGGAAATTAAATCTAATTTTTATTTTATTTATTCAGGTAGTCTCAGTGACAAGAACTCATTTTCAAGTGACCTGTTTGGGAGCGGATGGTGGGGGTTACGGGCCTTGCTCAAGGGCCCAGAGTGGGGCAAATGAGGGTGGAGGCAGGTGCGGGTGTTTCACCTTTTCCATCCCTATTTTAATGTTAACGGTCTGGGGAGTCAAACTGGCAACCTTCCTATCACAGGCCCACCATTTAATTATCTAAAGTCCAAGTAAATAAAAATATTTTGAAGTCACAATTTCATATTCCACAAACTGGCCTATTTTTTAAATATATATATATACTTTAAATGTATGTTTAAATACTTTAAAGTGGGACACATAATGAATTTGTCCACAGATTAAAGGAGGACTCAGGGCCGCCTGCAGAGTTCTGTTTTATCTCTTGTCAAAATCGGTATAAACTATCATCTTTTCCATTCTTTATATGAATACAGTCATTTCTTTTGTACTTAAATGTAAAAATGACAACAAATGTTAAAATTAATTATATATCCTTACTTTTACAATGCCTCCTTCACTGACCAGAAAATCTGCCCCTCCAACAAACTTGAAGTGGCCCACGGGCCACCAGTTGATAATCACAGTCGTAGCAGGTTTTGCGTCTCTGGACGTGTTTTATGAGCGAAGGAACAGAAAGTTTCAAAGCCCTGGGAGAGACGGGAGCTTGTCCTCAGGGAGTGCTCTGAGCTGCAGCGATGATGCTGGCAGGGGAAACACCGCAGAGGTGTGCAGAGGTCAGCGGGTGCAGAGGGTCAACGTCTGAACGCACCAGTCACACAACGACTGGAGACTCATTAACACGAGCCACAACCAGGATGGAAGTGTTTTCAAACACACACAGATTTTATGATTCAAGACAAAATTCACAAGTCAACATTATTGATTTATCTACCTGGATTGATTCAATCCAGGTAGATAAATCTAAATCTACCTGGATTAATCTTCTTAGATTAGAGGTTAACATCACGTTTATTTATAGTTCACAGATGATTTATGAGTCAATCTGTGGAGGTAAGCTATAAATTTACAAACCTAATTGGTTTCAGTGGGTGTATTAATGACATCTGAAAGATTTATTCATAAATTACAATTTTTTATTAACATTTATCATATTTTATTTATGTTTGTTAGTTGTTTGTTTGTTTTGAACAGGTTAAAAAGACCTCACAACAAAACAATAAACCATAAAAAAACACAAAATTGACCTGAACAATAGTAGAAACATATAAAGATAATAGGAAAATAAACAAATTAAAGACATGTGAGTAAATAAAAAAAAAAAACTTGTTTGAAAAAAGTATGAAGAAGAATAAACTTTATAAATCCTCCTCTTTATAAATAAACTATAAATACGCCCCAAATAATTTCTTACACCCTGACAAATCAAATTGTTGTTTTAAATGACACTAAACACTAAATTGTTTACCAAAACGCAACTAATTCTACTTTTTCATTTTGATTCATACATCAACACTTGCAGATGTTTCATTTTAACTATTTATTATGACTTCAGGCAATAATGCAGTTCTTTAGAAGTGGGGTTTTCTGGAAAAGATGTGAACAAACAACATTTCACCTGCTGTAGATAGATTTTTGCACAGCCTCAGCAAACCATAAAGTTCTGTATCAAATATCATGATGAGATAATGACGATGTAGATTTATAAAATAGTGTTGGGATGAATTTTTAATAAATGGAGTCATTTTAAGATGGCATCGCTTCATGAAACCACTCAGACTACTCGTTAAGTTGTCATTCTGAACAACATGAAACTACAGTTCTCTGAAAAAAGCTCGTTTTAAAGAACTACCGACTAATTATTTTATTGTTTACAAAGGCTACAGAGGTATTTTTAAATTACTGCATGTTTTGAACGAAGCAGAAATAAAAAATAAATCGTATTTCAGAACATCATCATCACAATAACCTGAACTTATTCTTTATCCTAGTCTTTAAACAAAAACAGTATTTCAGTACTGAACATTGGCTAAAGTCCAACATTTTTCAGTCAGGTCATCTGGACAGTTTATTTATTTTTTTTGTTTGTGCTGAAACGTTTCACCTTCGATCCGGAAGGCTTCATCAGTCAAGGAAACACACAACAAAATCAACCTTTATTTATACAGGTAAATTCCATTGAGCCTCGAGGACTCATTTACAAGAGAGACCTGATTTCAACAAAGAAATATGACAACAATGGACAACAGCAACAACAATAAGCAGTTATAAGAAAAGCATACTACAGTTTTTTTTTTAGTTTTTTTATTTATTTTATTTTATTTTATTTTATTTTTTAACAAATAGGATGGCTAAAAGGAAAAGGTAACAAAACAAAAAACAGCTAAATTCCAAGACAAATGTAGAAAACTAAAAACAGGAACATGTCAGCATTGGACCCTGCCAGGTGTCCAACAGATTCTTAAAGACACTTAGAGAGGTCAAGGTCGAGAGCTTCAAATCTTTTTGTAAGATATTCCAGGAAACAGGAGCGGAGTAGGAGAAGGACCTTTTGCCTAGTTCAGTCCTCACTGAGGGAACACTGCAGGTAATAATGTCCTGAGAGCGCACTCCGTAGCTGCACTCACGCAGAGACAAGCAGGAGGAGATGTATGAAGGCAACAGACCAAGAAGTGATTTAAAGATGAAAATGTACCAGTGAGAGAGTCTGTGTGAAGTTAATGATGTCCAGTTAACCAGTGATAAAAAAAACTGATTCTTGCCCCAACAGCTTACTCCAAACTGGAACAAACCAGTTCTGCTTGTGATTAGATGGTCTCTTTGGTACGCCCCTCCTCCATTGCCGGCCCTCTTCCTTGTTGACAGTCTTGTCAAACTGGTTGAAAACAACAAAGTCCATGCTCAATAATCAATAATAGTTAGCTAAAGTCGCAATCGCTCACAATTGGCTGAATGTTTCTGAATAATTTTCATTGATCCGCTTTTCTTCTGTACATTTTTCAACTCGTAACTCGTTCCTCAGTTTTTGTTTTATTTCAACAATTTATGTCTGAAAACATGTGGCTCATTCAGGACATTCCTGCTGGGCCTTTAGGTGTTTATGCAATTTTAACTTTTAGAATTTGTCTGCCATGTTTTCCTCACTGAAGATGAATGGAGCTCTCTTCACATCCTTAAAACTCTTTAAAATCTTTTACCGCTCATTTCAGCTGTTGTTCTGTTTCAGCTCCGTTCAACTCATTTCAGCTGTTGTTCTGCTTCAGCTCTGTTCAGCTCATTTCAACTGTTGTTCTGCTTCAGCTCCTTTCAGCTGTTGTTCTGCTTCAGCTCATTTCAGCTCTTTTCAGTTGTTGTTCTGCTTCAGCTCCTTTCAGCTCCTTTCAGCTGTTGTTCTGCTTCAGCTCCTTTCAGCTCCTTTCAGCTGTTGTTCTGCTTCAGCTCCTTTCAGCTCATTTCAGCTGTTGTACTGCTTCAGCTCCTTTTAGCTCATTTCTGCTGTTGTTCTGCTTCAGCTCCTTTCAGCTGTTGTTCTGCTTCTGCTCTGTTCAGCTCACTTCAGCTGTAGTTCTGCTTCAGCTCCTTTCAGCTCATTCCAGCTGTTGTACTGCTTCAGCTCCTTTCATCTAATTTCTGCTGTTGTTCTGCTTCAGCTCCTTTCAGCTGTTGTTCTGCTTCTGCTCTTTTCAGTTCATTTCAGCTCATTTCAGCTGAAGTTCTACTTCAACTCCTTTCAGCTTCTTTCTGCTCATTTCAGCTTTTTCAGCCAATCTTTAGATATTTTCTACAAATTGTACCTTTTTAGCTATACTTTTGTCTCATTTAATTTTTTTGTAGCTAAATTCCTTTTTTTTTTTTTTTTACGTTTTTCGAATAAATTCAACTTTTTTCCTTTTATCCTTTCAGCTTCCTTTTGCTCATTTCAGGTTTTTTTTATCTTAATTATATATTTTTGCTGTTTTGGCTACTTTAAAATAATAATTTGAGCTTTTTTGTACTAATTTTAGTTACTTTTTTTTTGTTAATTTCCCATTTTTTTGTAATCTATTCAGCCTCAGCCTCTTTCAGCTTCATCTGCTCATTTCAGCTGTTTTTCTGCTTTATTTTCCTGCTTTCAGCAAATGTCAGCTGTTAAAATTCAGCTCACATCAACAGTTTGGAGTTGAAACCTTTTCAGCAGAACTCATTCAGCAATAAGAATTCACGCTGCATGGTCACAGGAATTGGCATTTATCTGGTTTTAGTAACTGTAGTTACAGTAACTTTAGTTACATTAACTTCATTAATGTCTGATGTCATCACGCTTCTGACAACACGCGTACAGACAGTAAACAGATGCCCTGACACAGCCTTTGTGAGCTTTGCTCAGCGACTCTGTTACCTGTAGCTCTTCATGTTCTGATATTTGTGGTTTGAAAGGAAGAGCTTCAGTTTTATCGCTTCTTTTTCTTCATTTCATTCCTCATGCAGACAAAAGCCTTTTATTCCTACTGGGCAGAACCTGCAACCATCAAGAATCTAAAGCGAGGCCTCACCAGCTTGTTGCAGCTTCAGCTCCACACCGGGAAGGTTGTCGAGGTAAAAACTATCAAGATTCTCCTGGGTCAGATAGGGCCTTCAACTCCTTCAGAGAAGGCCCAAGAATTCAGCACATATGAAATGTTACATTTAAAATTCTACTTTCATATTTATTTAATATAAAAATTAATGTTTTCCAAATATTTTTTTTTTGCTAATTTCTCTTAGTTTCTGTAAACTACTTTGTAGTTGAGCAAGATTTTTTTTTTTTTAATTTCCTGAAAATCCAGTTGTCCAATCAGATTCCTTTAATTTTTGTCTCAGGGCAGAAACATGTTTGAAGCTTCTCTCTCATTGGTCAGGACTTCACAGTCAGCAGAGAAGGCTGAGCTCATCAGAGGCTCTGCTGGAGGAGTTTGTTTAATAACTGACATTAACCAATCACAATGTTGATGTAGAGTGGGCGGGGCCAAAACACAGGGATCTGAGCCTTCGGGAAGGCCCTGCAGGCATTTTCTTTTTTAACTACATGAAGAATTATGACACATTCAATTGCAACCTGTAAATTTAAAATATATCCCAGACATTGCAGTTGCTCTAAAAAAATGAAGGTAAAATATCAAATTTAGGTTTGCTTTGATAATTTTCAATTTAAAGTTGTGTTTTGGTTTTATTACATGATGAAAGTTTACAGAAACAGTGAGTTCTGTGGGTTACTGTTAAATTTCAGTGTGAATTATTGGTTTTGCATGTTGCACTTGAACATACTGTAACAGACTGAGTGAGCTGCAGGGCCTGCTGGTGGACTTTTTCAGGTTCTGTGTTCTGATGGGTCGTCCCTGTTGGTTCTGTTTAGTTCTGGGTTGGTGTTTATGTTCAGGCTGTTGACAGGGACTGTACACAGAAGACGTCATAAGTCAGATGTTGAACCTGATGTAAAAAAGATGAGAAGAACTTCTGTTCAGTGTGTTTCGAATCACAAAACCAGAAGTGATTTATCTGCATCGTGACCTCGTGTTTTCACCGATATGACACGAAACGACATCTAACTGAAGGCCTAGAGCTTACAGTCACAGGTGAATCTCTTTTGTATTTACTGATTTAAAACAAACCATGTGTTTAAACAGAATGATGTGTCTGGGCGGTGCACCGTTCAGTATCAGGCATCACAAGGTCAAGTAACACGAACCAAGCTCCTGGAGACGTGCAAGACTTCCGAGACCGGATTCACCACGCACAGTAAGGTTAGTCCGCCTCCAGACTTCATCGTCTGAAAGGTGGATCTTTGTGAGGGGTCACTCACTGTGTCTGACGCTTCCTCCCATCCAGGTGTTGGGTGTGAGCAAGAAGTCCAGCTCTGTTACGATTTTCAAACTCAAAGATGGTTTCATCAAATCAGCCGAGGCAGAAGAAACGCACACCCTGGCTGTTAATTCTCACAGGACTGCTGCAGCTAAAGTTGTGTCCAGGTGAGAGTCCAGGTGACCGAAACACTGATGATCAACTGCCTTCATAAATAAACTCTAGTGTTCAGCAGGAACGAACTGTCTGAAGATGACACTTGTGTTTTAGTTCCATCATTATTGACAACAGCGAATAAACTGGGACTTTCCCCGACGTTCCTGCAGCTGACGTCCTGTTTGTCTCGACTCTGTGTTTTAATCGTGTCAACGTTTATGAAGCATTAACTCTATTACGATCCATTAGTCTTTTATATGTTTTTCAGCGCGCTTCTCGTCTCGCAGTTTTCAAGCTATTTCAACAAATCATATATAAAAACGTTCAGCTCTTTCAGGACAATCCTGCTGCGACTTTTGGTATTGGTGCAACTTTAGCTTTTTGAATTATTTAGCCTTTTCTGCCATTTTTTCCTCATAGGAAATGAAATGAACTAATTTTACATCCTTCAAATCTTTAGCTCTGTTTACAACCTTTTACTGTTCCTTTCACATTTTGTTCTGCTTCAGCTTCTTTGTGCAAATAAAATAAAAATCAGCTACTTTTAGCTGCTTATTTAGCTGTTTTGTGCTCCTTTCAGATTCTTTCTGCTAACTAAAATATGTTTTTGCTTCTTCTAACTTCCTTCTGCCAATTTCAGCTTGTTATGCTCTTTTCAGCTTATTTCTGCATTTCAGCTTTTTCTGCTATTTCAGCTACTATTTAGCTGTTTTATGTTAATTTAGACTTTTTTCAGCTAATTTCACATTTTTTGCACTCATTTAAACTTTTATCAGCCTAAATCAGCAAAAATGTTCTCTCTCCACTTCCTTCTGGTAATTTCAGATTCTTTCTGCTTTTTTAGCTACTTTTCAGCTCCCCCCCCCCTAACTTCAGCTTTTTTCAGATAATTTCATCTTTCTATGCTCATTTCTGCTTCTTTTAGCATAGTTGGGCAAACATCTTCTTTCTGCTTTCTGTTATGCTAATTTAACCTTGTTCTACCTTTTCAGCTACCCTTTTAGCTAATTTTAGCTGTTTTCCAATAAGTTCAAGTTTTTTGTGGTAATTTCTGCTACTATCAGCCTAATTAACTTCTTTATACTAATTTCACTATAGATATAGGTATCACTAGTTTCAGCTTTTTCTGCTGTTTCAATTTCTATTTAGCTGTTTTATGCTAATTTAACCTTTTTTTTTAGCTAATTCCACCATTTTTGCCCTCATTTCAACACTTCTGCTTCCTTCTAGTAGTTTAAGCTTCATTTAGCCTTTTCAGTTACTTTTCAGCTATTTTTTTTGCTAATTTCAGCTTTTTTAGATAATTTCCTAATTTTTGTGTTCATTTTTTTATTTAAACCTAATTCAGCAAATATGTTTTTTCTGCTTTCTTCTGCTAATTTAGTCTTGTTCTTCCATTTCAGCTACATTTCAGATTTTCCCCCCGCTAATTTCAGCTGTTCTTCAGCAATTCACACTGCATTTTCACAGGAAATGTAATTAGTTTAGTTTTTTCTTAATTTGGTCTTAATTTAATCTCTTCGTCTTGTCTCCAATCAATCACAGTTTGATTGCAGGGGTTGACGAACCCTCCCAAAGTTGTCCTACATTTTTCACACTGTCTGGCCCCAGGAAATTAAATTTTAATTGAGAAACATTTGAGTTCCAAAGCTCTTGTAAGCTTTTCAAAACTTTTTTAGAGACCTGCTCGTGAATACTGATGGCAAAGTGTTGCCAGCAGTCACAATCCCGTGAGCTTCAGGTGACGATAGGGAAGATATTCTGCACCTTGTGCTGATTCATACTTTATTTCTGCACACTTGACTTTAACAGAAATGTACTCTATGTTTCAGAATTTACCTGTAGCATTCGTGAAATGTGTATTTCTGTTTTCCCAGGCAAACCCTCGTGTTGGTTGGGACGGAGGCTGGACCGTTTGAGGTCGCTGGCAAAGATGTTGCCGGCGTTGTCAAGTCCGTCGATCCCAAACTGGCAGCTGTTGGTATTGCTGCTGATAAGGTCAAAACAAAATGCAAAGGCTGTCCATCAGTGAGTCCCTGATCATTTTCACTTTTGAGCTCAGACACAGAGAGGTATTTACTGCTCAGTTTAAATACATGTACAGATCAAGTGGCTGTTTTTAGCTCCAATATACACCCCTGCTGTGAAATACTTAATGGCAATTGGGAGTCTTGGCTTTTCCTCTGTATTATCTGCCATCTGTGCAATAAATCATATTAATTTCACCAATTAATCTGCAAACTGTTGTGAAACTTTGGATGCCATGCTTGACTTCCTTAATTTTAGAAGCATTTTATGAAAGAAAAGACACTGCGAGTGAAAAATAAGAACATTCTTCCCTCCTCTGACCAGGCAAAGGGGTGTTTATGAGCTGGACAAGTCATTACGATAGAATGAGTTCTAATAGACCTGCATTAGTAACCAGACACTGTATATTTTTGTACTTTAATTACTGACTGAAGATGATCCGTCCTCTAATCCTCCAAATGTCCACCCCTCTTAGCTTCTTGAACATTGGCAGGCTGTCCAGAAGCAGCTGGAGCCAGCCAGCCTGTCCAAAGCCACGGCTCCTCGCAGCTTCCTGGCCCTCCTCCAGAGCATTCGGAAGGCGTCCAAAGACGAGATCCTCAAAGTGCTGAAAAGTGCCAGCAAGACCTCTCTGTAAACCAGCTCCTGTTTCTCAAAAATATTTGATTCCTCTGCTATGGCCATCATGTTGCCTTGCTAAAAATATTAGTGCTTTTGCGTTACACATGTGTGGGTTTGGCGCTTCTTTGTTTTGTTCAACGACCTTCTGCTGATGTCAGACCTCAGGTGGTGGACGCTGTGACGTCTTCTCAAACCCCTGCGTCTCTGGATGCCATTCTCGAGTTCCTCAACTTCACCGACTCCAAGGGTTTGGTTCTGCAGGAGAGGTTCCTTTATGCGTGTGGCTTTGCCTCGCATCCTAACGAGAGGATGCTGCAGGCACTGCTGGTAGGTAGCAGCTCAGAAACGAATCACTGCACAAACATCTTCAACCGAGTCACTTTCGGAGTCAATTGGAATGCCATCGCTAATCAACCTTAGCAAACGCAAAAAAATGCTGAAGCCTGGTTATTTTCTGCAGATCTTGAGGTAAAATCTTGCAGAGTAATAGCTCAGACTAATCTCCAACACTCTTTGAGCGTTAACACTTTTAGAAGTTTGTTTGAAGCTCTGGCACACAAGGTGGTGGGTGATGTGCGTTCCTTGAAATGCTTTTTTCCATTTGTTTTTGATGTATTACAGTAAAAATGTTTGTGTCTTTAGGATATTTATAAAGGAAAGATTGGCAGCAAAGACATCAGAGAATCAGTGGTGATCATCATGGGAGCCCTGGTCCGCAAGCTGTGTCTGAAAGGAGACTGTAGTTTACCGGTGAGTTTTCCCAGAAGATCACAAGAATAACAAGTTACAACAAAACCAATAATAATCTGAACTTACTGCCAAATATGGATCTCAAAGTGTATATTCCCTCCAAGGAATGTCTTAGCAATGACATCAACCAACAGTCGTTTGCATGTTTGCCCCTCAGACAGTGATGCAGGTGAAGAAGATGATCTTAGAAGGTCCTGAGAGCACTAAAGATGAGGCAGAGATCCAGATGTACCTCCTGGCCCTGAAGAACTCCCTGCTGCCTGAGGCCGTTCCCATCCTCAACAGGTTTGCTGAGTCCGAGGTCGGGTCTTACAGCACCATCGCCCTGACTGCCCTGCAGAGATATGACGTCAGTCTCATAAACAGTGAGGTAAATCCCTGCCCGCACCACCCTTCTCTTCTTACTGCTCTTTCGAAAAGCCCGGACCGAGTCCAGATGTTGTTGTTTTCAGGTGAAACAGACAGTGAACCGGGTCTACCACCAGAATCTACGGATCTATGAGAAGAATGTGAGAGCTGCTGCGGCGGACGTCATCCTGAGCAGCAACCCCTCCTACATGGAGGTCAAAAACCTGCTCCTGTCCATCGGAAACCTTCCTCATGAAATGAACAAGTACATGCTGTCGAAGATCCAGGACATCCTTCGCTTTGAAATGCCAGCCAGGTGTGTTAAACGACGACAAAGTGTGAGATTAAACAAAGCTCTGACGTTGATGACACGATGACACAAGCTCTCATTTTCACAGCAAGGTCATTCAACAAGCTATGAAGGACATGATCTCCCACAACTACAACCGCTTTGCTAAGGTTGGGTCCTCGTCTGCATTCTCAGGATTTATGGCACGTGAGTAAAAAGACAACGACCAAAAACACGTTTCTTCAGAACTTGGGTCATGTTTATCTGAAATATTTGTTCGTTGGAAAGAGCTTCTGAAAGGGCTGCGAGGTTATAAATCTTACACTTTGCTTCAACAAGAACTATGTCCTCCCTCTGAAATGCCTCGACACATTTTGTTGCTTGACTCCTTCTTGTGTTCATACGACCCTAAACTCCCATCAGAAGAAAATCAGGCACCAAATATTTGCAGAGACATGCAGGTTGGTGTGCACGTTGTCAGACCGTATGTGAGGAAAATGCTGTGTATTTTATAAAAGCAATACCTGTAATATTGCAATTCAAGTATCCATGGTTCTTTATTGTCATTCGCACCACATGTGGCACATGAGGTGGAACAAAATTGTGTACACAGGGTCCCAGTTACATCCAACAATAAAATGTAAAAGAAAAACAGTAATAAGATCTAAGATACGAACTAAGAAAAACATCAACTAAATATACACTAAGCACTAATAGTATAAAAACAATATGCCAAACAGCAGCATGAACACGAGTCTGTGTGAGCAGATGAGTACGAATGAACACAGCAACGTGAAACAGATCAGCAGCAACGTGAAACAGATCAGCAGCAATGTGAAACAGATCAGCAGCAGCATGATGTGATTTCTCACAGTGATTATTCTGGTTAGAGATTCATGAGTCTAACAGCTTCAGGGTAGAAGCTGTTCCTCAGTCTAGTGGTTCTACTCTTAATGCTCCTCAACCTCCTTCCTGAGGGGCGTGGCACAAAAAATGTGTGTGCTGGGTGAGTGGGGTCCTTCATGATGCAGGTGGCCCTCTTCCTGCATCTGGAGGTGTAGATGGTGGGGAGACTGACTCCAGCAGACTTCTGTGCAGCCTTCAACACTCTCTGCAAAGCTTTTCTTTCTGCAGCTGTGCAGCCTCCATGCCACACGTTGATGCTCGAGCACAGGATGCTCTCCACTGCACACCTGTAGAAGGAGGTGAGGACTGAGCTTCCCAGACCAGCTCGTCTCAGTCGCCTGAGGAAGTAGAGTCTCTGATGAGCTTTCTTGATCAGGCTGGTGGTGTTGTTGCTCCAGCTGAGGTTGTCATTCAGGTGTACACCCAAGTACTTGTAGCTGGAGACCACTTCCACTGCAGATCCTCTTATGTTTGGGGGGGTGTAGGTGCGTTTGTTCCGTCTGAAGTCCACGACCATCATGACCTAACATTAATCCGCCCACTGTTTGTGGGTTTAAGGATGTTCAAAATGTTGCACACGGATGCAAAATAACTGCAGATTGATATACCAGATAACTCAATAACGTATGGATGGGGTTTTAAAAAAAAAGCAGCACAAATGAAATCCATTTTTATCCATCCATCCATTATCTTTACCCGCTTATTCCATTTTGGGTCATGGGGGTCACTGGTGCCCATGTCCAGCAATCACTGTGCGAGGGGCGGGGTACACCCTGGACGGGTCGCAAGTCTATCACAGGGCCACATAGAGACAAACGAGACAAACAACCATTCACTCTCTCACTCACACCCTAGGGACAATTTAGAGTTACCAATCAGCCTAACATGCATGTTTTTGGTCTGTGGGAGGAAACCGGAGTACCCGTAGGAAACCCACGCATGCACGGAGAGAACATGCAAACTCCACCCAGAAAGGCCCCTGGACCAGGGTTTGAACCAAGGACCTGCTCGCTGTGAGGCAGCAGCTCTACCAGTTGTGCCACCGTGCTGCCCATCCTTTTTTATTCACTTTTTAAATTAATTTTCTAACTATACATTTAAACAAGCATGTTTCCACTATGTCACTCTGCTGGACGACAATCTATGTCAAACACACAACAGTTTTGGAGGTGTGCTGTGTATTTTCTGTGCTCTGCCTGTGTTTCAAATGTTTTCGTGGCATTTCTTGTCCCTACACAGCCTAAAAGCAGGAACTACAGTGAGAGCATGTAGCAAAGCTCAATCAGCCAGGTAGATAATGTAGTGAACTAAGCCTCAGGTCAAAAACCTGACCCTGGGGGCCTTCCTGGGACAGGAACTGTTATTTCATTGATTTGAGTCCAGAAACACAAATTAAGCTCATCCAGAGACTTTCTAAGTGTGTCCTGCACTAATCAATTGAAAGAACACTCTCTTTCATATTATCATTACTATTTTACAAATGTCTTGATAATCAAAAGTGTGTTTAGTTCAAACCATTTTAAATGTTGAAGTGAACCACTCATTTTAAATCAACTGTGAAACAGTATTAATGATTTTTAATCCTCATTCAAAGTAGAAATCAAGTTAAAATGCCTGTTACAAAGTAATTATGCATTTTTTTTTATCTTCTGTCTGAAATGAGAAGTTGTGATGTCGGTCAAAAGTCAAGAGAACGGTCAAAAACACGTTTATCGGAACGAAATGTCATGTTTAACTCCCTCAGATAGATAGAAGGAGACTGGCTCCTAAATGTCTCTGTTTCTCCAAAACATTTCTCTGTCTGTTCCAAAAACATCTCACTGTTTTTCTGACTTGTAATAACCCTCTTACGTCACTAAAACCACACCCCGGTTGGTTCGTTCAACCAATCAGGAAGTTCTCAGAGGGACCGGAAGTGAACTCTTTAAAAGGGTCGACACTTCCTAGTTCCATGCAGAACAAGAGTTCCAAGCAGAACAACGTTCCAGACATGAACCAAAGTTCTGAGAGCAGAACCGAACAAGAGTTCAAAGTTGCTGGATAGAACAAGAAGTTCCGGACATGATCCGAAGTTCTGAGAGCAGTTCAAAGTTCTGAGACATGAACAACGTTCCAGAAAGAACAAGAGTTCCAGAGCAGAACAACGTTCCAGAGCAGTTTCTAATGGAGTGACGAGAGTCCGTCGATGCCACGACGTCTCGCTGTAGTCTACCCGACGAACGCTCTGAACAATGAGGAAGTCTGTTCTGTGATGATCTCACGACTCCTGAGGTCACAGCTGTTCTTACGGAGACGCTGAAAAGAGTTGAAAGAAAACTCTGCACCGAGGCCGAAACTATCGTCTGCAAAGGTAAAGAGTCGATCTTCACTTGCGAGTGTACCGTGGGTTAAGCTGCGTCCAAAGGAGCGTGTTGTTCTGGTAATACAGACACATTTTCCTCATCCATTTCCTCCATTTAAACTTCAACAAAAGAGATTAAATTATGTCATCTGGGCCAGTTTCTTTAAGTGAGAAAGTCTTTTGTACCCCATCCAGAGGACTTCCTCAGTCTACAGCCTGTCAACCAGATCTGTCCCATAGGTAGCCTCTGGATGGGGGCAAAACGTTTCTCGCTTAAAGAAACTGGTCCAGATGACATTTGTGCATCCATTTTATAGACTGTAGTGGGAAGTTTATACAAACCGGCCAGTAAAGAACAATATTACCTTTAATGCACACAGGACTGCATAGGCTTTAATGTTTTTGTTGAGGGGGGTTTAAATAATTATAAAAACCTCTGCTCTGCAGAATCTGCGGACGTGACCTCCACATACAGTTTGGACATCCTGTACTCAGGCTCCGGCGTCCTGAGGAGAAGCAACATGAATATTTATGGTTCCAGTAACGAAGCAATGCTGCACGGACTGCAGGTAAACCAAGACTCATCCGGCTCTCACAGGTTCAGTGGAACGCAAATGATCCTGTTTTTTATGTCCCAGGTGGCGATTGAGGCCCAGGGTCTGGAGTCTCTGATCGCTGCGACGCCGGATGAAGGAGAGGAAGACCTGGAGTCGTTCGCCGGCATGTCGGCGCTGCTGTTCGATGTGCAGCTGCGACCCGTCACCTTCTTCAAGGGCTACAGTGACCTGATGTCCAAAATGTTCTCCATGACGGGAGAACCCATGAACGTGGTGAAGGGACTGATCCTGCTCACTGACCACTCTGAGGTGAGCACGTTGTCTCACGCCACACAGAACACTTTTATTCTTCTTATTAATCCCTTCGTCTTCTAACATTTTAAACATTTAACTTGTTTTGATCCTAACTCCTAAACGAACACGAGTGCGAAAGAGATCATGTTTGACACGTCTTCTTGTTTTTGCCAAATTTAAACAGCGCAACTATTTATTCATAATCTCCTTTTCATAAATCTCAATAAAAACTGAATCCAGATTTATGTCTGACTCAGCAAACTGTAAAAGTGTGGACAGCTTTTGTTCTCATGCTGGTATCATGGCACCCATCTGATTTGAGAACACAGTAAGAAAGAACCAGCATCTTTCAAAGAGTAGAAGAAGAAACCTCCATTCCGCCTGCCTTAAAAATAAATCTCTCACACGGTCTGTCAGCACTCAAAGCATGTGCTGGGGAGGACTCTCAGCTACTACCACGCCAAAGTTAAGATCAGTGTCTGTAAAACTGGATGGGTTACAGCCAGTTGTGTGTTTGCTGACGTTGATCAGTTATGGTGGCCTTCTTGAACAGGGTTGTCTACAAAACATAATCACTTATAAATGTCCATCCAGAGATTATTTCCTGAAAGTTTCATTAAATCCATCCAGCGATTCTTGATATATTTTGCTAACAGACAAAGATGACTAAATGGTGAAATCAGTGCTCTGAATATGTGTTTTAGATGGGCCTCACAAAACGTTGGGGTAATATCTGTAATACTGAGTGAGTTGCAGGTAAATAAATGAAACTAAACTTTAGTGTTTCTGAGAGTTGTATGACGGTGCAGCCTCAATGGTTCAGAGTTTTGTAGAGTTTTGTGTCATTTGTGTGTCTTGTTGGTCCTGCAGGTCGTGCAGCTGCAGTCTGGGCTGAAGGCGAGCGCAGAGTTTCAGGGGGGGCTGGCCATTGATATTTCAGGAGGGATGGAGATTAGCCTGTGGTACCGAGAGTCCAAGACCAGCGTCAACAACCGGTACTGTCCACACACTATGGGTTTCTGCACACACCATGCTGTGTGTTCATCTCATTCACCATGTGTGTGTGTTCATCTTGTTCATC